AAATTAAGTTGTCCCAATGAAATCTCAATTGTGTTGTTTCAGCTCATTTTAAATAAGTAATTTGAACGAGCAAAACATTTTTTTATATATATATACAGCTGACTGAGTGAGTGCTCTATGGGGATTTCTGTGTAGGCAGAAGTAATGATACACTGCGTGGAGTGAAACCGGAAACCATGTGACGTCATGTAAAAAGGGTCTATTAAAAATCAAGGCATGATCATATTTTATTTTGGTAAAATAAGCGTAATTTAGAGGCCTTTGCCTTTCATATAAGCCGCTTCTGATCCCAAATGATCAACAAGACGTCAAGTTAATTTTTGTTGTACCTAAAACTTGAATAGACAAGACTTTTGTCAGGTAGTGTAAATACATGTTTATTCCTAGATGATCAATCCTTTTATGAAGCATTTATATCACTGTGTGCATTGACATATCTAAGGTGAATAACCAACAAGACCACTTTAACCACTTCTTTGTACCTGAAGTGATTATAGATTGGACTTGGACTATGTAATTCAAGCGATATGTCACCCTTAAATATCCTATATTTAAAAATAATTTGTTACATTTTTATTTATTTAATTTAAAACCACGATTCATTGTGATTTATAAAATGACCATAGTCTGTGGCTACTGCTCTATTTACAGAGTAGTTTGAAATATATCTCAAATATTTACATAAAGGGAATTCCTTCACTGTAATCAAACTGATGAATAATTACATGCTGCACTATCATTCATTCATCCAAACAAACACATGACTGTCTTTGGGAATTAGGGCAACAGAAAAACGCATCTTTCCAGACATCAAGGCCACATGTAAGGAATTGATGGAGTCCCTGTGCAGACGTGTGTTTTTGTTATTGTAGTCTATCGTTCAGAAGTGAAGTCTGTGTCTCCCAGAGCTGCTTCTCTCGCTCTATCAGAACTGACGGAAGTGTTACACATTTCCTTCAATTTTTTCCTCCTGGGACCAACACAAAGTGCTCCGTCAGAGAACAACACCGCACCGCAAGAGAGACACTTAAAAGAACCCATGAGAAAACAGGGGTAAGGTGATTTTTCCCATTCAGTTTTTTTCCTCTTTCACTGACTGCCTCTCAAATCTTTAGTAACTCACCTTATTTAATTTTATTTATTATCATATAAGTTTGTGGTGCTGTATGGAATGGATTTACAGATAATACATGTGTTTTCTAATTATTATTATTTGTATTGACCACATTTTTCTCAATTTAAACACATGTTATGAGTCAAATACAGCACATACAGCTAAGGTAAACTGTTTACAGCTGTTTTATAGTTCATCATGCTACTTTTATCTCTTTTAACCAAAATAAGGCAGAATGTTGGCCCGTTGTAACCTTTTGTTTGGCCCACCATGCCATCTGAGAGAAGAGTGAGAATAAAGGAGAGGGTTGGGGCGAAAGCTTTTAACACAGAGATCGTTGTTTCAAATGTGACCTGACCTTTTTTGTTTGTTTTATTACTGAGCTACAAAAAAAAGCAAACAGAATTATTTTAATTAAATGAATTTTAAAAAATGTTTTAATTAAATGTGGTAAATGAGTCAGATTTTTAAAAATGTAAATACTGTCACGCGAAGGACACAGAAGCAAATCTAGGCAAAAACTAGGTTAATTCTGTTCTAATTCTTGTTTTGTATTTACTTTAATAAGTTCATTATTTATTCATTCATTCTCTTTTCTGCTTAGTCCCTATATTAACCCGGGGTCGCCACAGAGGAATGAACCGCCAACTTATCCAGCATGTTTTTATGCAGCGTATGCCCTTCCAGCCGTAACCCATCTCTGGGAAATAATAAGTTCATTATAAAATGTACAAATATATACTATGTGTTGGTTAATATAAAGCAAGTCATTTTTAAAATATAATTAAATAAATTAGGGATTTGCCCATGGTAACTATATTTACCTTCAGCCCATTGGCATCAAGTTTGGACAGCCCTGCTTTTAAGTGATCTTGAGCTACGCTTGTGTGACAATATGTGCAATTTCAGACTTCAAACACAGGGTGGTGCCATAGCTCAGTAATCCTGAAGTTATTTTCAGGATATATGGGTGAAAACATGATAAATAGTGCATAGTCACACCTTCATGAATAAATATCAGTGTTAATTATTGCTAACAATACAAAATAATTTGTAATATTTACAATAAAAAACAGGAGTGAGTATATATTTCATATCCTCCTGAGACCCAAAGAATTTTTTTTCTGTGATTTTCTACATCCTATGGGTAAAAATTTTACAATTTAGAGTTTTTATATTTTGTTTTTACTTTTTATTTTACAGCATGTCCACTGTAGTGGACCACAGGACCATTTTAGTTTGAAACGACCGAAACTCACACAACAAAACTGTACAGGATATGGCTGTAAAGGGATATTAATCCTATATTAATGTAACAAAAACAAAACCAAAGCCATTTTTCCCCCTTTTGTATTGAAATTCCTGAAACAGTTTAGTCTGAAAGAGAGCCAAACTCAAAAGAAAAAAAAAAAAAAAAAAGAAGTGATGTTAATCCAAAACAAGTTTAACATAAAAGCGATTTAAAACTGTGGCCAAAACCCCCTCTAAAACCAGGCTGGTCAACCAGCTAAAACCAGCCAACTAGCCTAGGCTGGTTTAAGCTGGATTTTTTAGCAGGGCACTACAGGGGACACATGTCATTGGGCGGGGTCTCAGGAGGATCTAGATCAGGGGTGTCAAACTTAATTCCTGGAGGGCCGAAGCCCTGCACAGTTTAATTCCAACCCTGCTCCAACACACTTACCTGTAGGTTTCAAACAAGCCTGAAGGACTCAATTAGTTTGATCAGGAGTGTTTAATTAGGGTTGGAACTAAACTGTGCAGAGCTGCGGCCCTTTTGGAACTGAGTTTGACACCTGTGATCTAGATGAAGTCAGAATTATTAGACCCCTGTATATTTTCCCCCTGATTTCTGTTTAACAAAGAGAAAATATTTTCAACACATTTCTAAACATAATAGTTTTAATAACTCATTTCTACAAATTTCTTTTATCTTTGCCATGATGAAAGTAAATAATATTTTACTAGCTATTTTTCAAAACATTAGTATTCAGTTTAAAGTGCATTTAAAGGCTTAACTGGGTTAATTAGCCTTTAGTTTGGGTAATTAGGCAAGTTATTGTATAACAGTATTATGTTCTGTAGACAATCGAAAACAAATATAGCTTAAGGGGGCTAATAGTATTGACCTTAAAAAGATTTTTAAAAATTCAAAAACTGCTTTTATTCTAGCTTAAATAAATCAAATAAGACTTTCCCCAGAGGAAAAATATTATAGGAAATACTGTGAACAATTCCTTGCTCTGTTAAACATAATTTAGGAAATATTTGAAAAAGTATTTTATTATTCATATTCATAATGTTATTGATTATAATATTAATCATATTATTTTGACTTCAACTGTATATATACAAACTATACGTAAAATATATAAACTATAAACAATTAAATAGTTCAATTTCAGTATAATTCCTCTTTAATGAGTCAAATGTATGAATAAAAAAAAGGAATTAGTTTGTTCCCTAAAACATGGTGTAACATCAAACTGGTTTAATTGAAAACAAATCTTTTAATGATTATCAATGTATTACTACCATGCGTAAACAAAGTCCTGTGTCGTTGCGAAATCAAACTGTTAATTCTTTCAACAAATACATTTTAGAAATGCACATGTACACTGAATTTTCATTATATTCTTCAATACATCTTAAGGTACAACAACACACTGTAATATCAAGGAATCAAAGTCATGGCAACTGATAACATGGTATGCCAGCAATAGACATAATTACAATCTACTTTAAGGGCACCTATGATGGAAATCACCTTTTGTAAGCTGTTTGTAACAGAACTGTGTGTACACACTAAAAAACATTGAGTTATTTATGTAATCCAATGGTTGAGTTAAACATATTTGGAGCTTTGTTGGGTTATTTTTAACCTTTATTAGGTTATTTAATAGTAACTCAACCAGCTGGGTTAAATATTTGATGCTTTGTTGGGTTATTTAGAACCTTTATTTGGTAAGTTATATTATAACTCAACCAGTTGGGTTAGATTTCAATTTCAACAGTCTGCTGATTTAACGGACACAGAACAGCTGTATTCATATGCGTGTGTAATTTTGTTTTTGCGTTTAAAATTTAATCTCCAGCGCAATAATATTGTTTTTTTTAATCAAATTACACCTCCATGTTGTGTTTTTTATATCCGTTTCACCAGCACTTTCAATTATTGATGATACAGATGCGAACTTCATAGCCGATCTATTTTAAATGGATAAAAACGCTTTCTCTACCTCTACAGTCTCTACATCTCTACAGTTTTGTTTTAAGAAATGATACATATATTTAAGATATCCAGCCGTCATTCTCACCTTTAGGACACAGCGGAGACTTTTATTTATTTACACAGCCATAATTATGAAATGAATAGTAGTAATAGTAATACCAGAAGGGAATAAATAACATTTAATCAAAAGAACCCAATGTTGGGAAGGTGCTATATTAACCTATAGTTGGGTTATATGTTATGGTATTTTTAACCCAACTATTTTACCAGAGTAGGTATAGTGTGTCCACAGTCATATTGGGGTGATATGAACACAATAAGTCTCTTTTTTTATTTCCTGATGTTAAAATAGGATCCAAATCTCTCTCATTTTGAGGCCCACCACAACATGACATAGGAGTGTGGCAACAAAAACAGCTACATTGTGTTCAGAGCAGAAAAATCCAAACTTCTGAAAGGTCTAATAAATAATCTAATGTGTGTTTTGAGCTGACACTTTACAAGCACATACTGGAGACACAAAAGACTTATCTTAAATCTTGAAAAAGGGGTAAAATAGAAACCCTTTAAAGACATTTTTATCCGCAAAATGGCTACTAGTTTGTTGGCCATCAGTGAGTGTGTTGATGTTCACACAGACTGGAGTTGACTAATTTTAAGCATGAGAGTCTATTGTGCCTGTCACTCTTGTTGCAGCAGCAGTCATCTGAAACATTTTGAGCACACTGGCTTACACTCAGCGTTAGCACGTCTCTCTCACTAATAGTGCTCTTTGCGAACAGGCTTAACCAATAGCACATCTGCAGAAAAGTTTAAAACGCCGCTGACAAACACAATCGCCTGGTAGGAATGGGATTATCGGCCAGGTAATCCGGTAAAAGAACAAAGACACCTGAAGGTAGGCACTGTTTATGTTTGTTATAGTATGCATCCCAGGAGTTTGAGTTTTGATGCTAAGACTTTATCTAGAGTGAGTTGTTTGTTAGAATTTAGACTAGTCTCTGGATTTTGCAGGATATTTTTCCGATTTTATGGCCTAAATTGGCTTATTTTATAGCAGCTTTTGAAATATTTTAAACAATATTAGTGCCATTTCTTGTGATTGCTATGAAAAAAATACACATTCAGAAAAACAACAACAACATTAGTTTTGGCCTATTTAATGAAAACGCAGAGAGAAACAAAGTTAGTAGCTCTTCTCCCTACTGGATCATACAGTGTGAAATCTGTGAAATTTCATTTAAATTCATTTGATTAGTTTTCAAATATTTAAAAAATATTTTAAAAATATTATTTTTAAAACTGCTAGTGTCTAAAGGGAATGGCGTGTTCACATTTTTACCGCAACCGGCACTTCATATTTAGTAACGTCCCGTATCGATGTCGACAAGTTCAAGCAAAAGATCCGAACCCAAAACGATTCATTTATTTGACTCTGAGTCGACTATTTCGTTAAAGAATCAATAGTTTTAAACACGGTGCACTTTCAGATTTAAACCACAGCTGGATGTTTTCATTCACTTAGTGCTGTGTTAGCTCATTTTCATAAATTAATAATAGGGGATCTTTAATAGCCTCTGGTATCAACAATAATAAAAGATAAAGTAGCAATAAACTTTGTACAACTTTATGAAAACTATAAAAATCATGTTTATGACAGATTTATGACAAGTTAGCTTCTCTTGGTAATGTCATGTTGTCATGACGAAGATGCCTACAGGTTTTGTTGTCCTGGATATGATTAGGTCATGATTATAAGTCATGATTAGGACACTGACAGGTTATGATACTTTTGGTTATGTCAAGTCATTACAAAGACTTCATAAACAATGCCACCTTTGCATTTTAAATGGCACAACTAAGCAAATGACACTTAATGTAACAGTTGTCCTAAGCATGCAGTCTCCCTGACATACATGTCATGTCATGATTATAAAGATGTCATGACAGTCTTATGAACACACTCTTCAAGAAAAGTGTTACCAAAAACTCTTTCTGGCATATTTTGGGTCAGAATAAAATATGTAAGTGCATGGCTATTATCCAGTCCATGGATACAAATATGTCACTTATTTACAAATCTGATGCAAATCTGCACAATTGACAAAATTTGCAGCCTCATCTGAATTTCACAGTATGTTCTTCATTTTGAATGCAATTTTGTGTTCACAGAAACACAAGATCCTGGAGGGACTGATAAATGGATTTGCTGTAGTGCGGCTACAGTTTGTGTAAGTGAACCAATAACTGTGTTTATCAGTAAACATCCACCGAAATTGAACTTCTAGCCTCAAGACACTGAGGCGTTATCCTTTTTTATAAGTCGAGTCTTGTTTGTTGATCAAAAACAGCTGGGATTGCTTGACTATTACAGCAGACCCTTCGAGCAACTCTTCATTTTCATTTGATTTGCATTCCTACATATTATTTTATCGAATCAAACAGATGTCTTGTTTTTCTTTGCTGTTGCTTTGGTATGTTTGGGTACAGATCATCCAGCTGTAGCAGCAGGGCTTTTAACATGACCTCTTGACCTGTATTTGATCAAGGCCCACCGGCTGACCTTCAAAACGAGCCTGCAGTCTCTTTGGTGCCGCTGTTTTCAGCTACTATATCAGATCCCCAGCAAGCAGGCAGCAAAGCCACATCCCATTATCACTTTGCACACATGGGATACAGAGACGCTTACTGAAGGGTGTCATACTGCTCATTCGTGCCGTCAGATTGGCTGTGAATCAGTGTAACTTTAAAGACAACAGATGCACAATTGGTGTAGATTTCAGCTGGGATGATGCACATGACCCTGGTAAACTGTTGACTAAAATCAGTTTAGCGACTGCAGTGAAATGATTCAACGATAGATGGAAAGAACAGGAGAGGAAGATTTATTGATTTTACGTCTTCTGTATTATCATGATGTACCATGTTAAAAGCCTGAGACATCAGCAATAATGAAAGATAAAGTATTAACATAGTCTGTACCACTTTATGACAATCATGTTTATGACAGATTTATGACAATTGAGGTTGTCTTGGTAATGTCAAGCTGTCATGACCAAGACACTGACAGGTTATGATACATCTGGTTATGTCAAGTGGACATTAGTTGTCAAGTTGGCATTTGGCCTACATGTTTATGACGGATTTATGACAGTTGAGATCTTGGTAATGTCAATTTTTCATGACCAAGACACCTTCAGGTTTTGTTCTTTACTTTATTTTACTTTGCTTTACTTTACTTTACTTTACTTCACTTTACTTTACTTGTTTACTTTACTTTATTGTCCACAAATGGAAATGTATCTTTGGCTTCACCACACAACCACATCAACATTCACATTACAGACATCACAGAAAAAAACAGGCAATACAAAACCTTCAATATCATCACATATAGCACATTAAAAACTCACTTTAAAACCCCAGACATACTTAGTACTCAGTATTTAAAATTCTAATGGCAGTAGGCACAAAGGACATTTGATACACATTTCTCTTTACTTGAGGTTGCCTAAAACGTCTTTTTGATGGCAAGAGCTGAAATGTTATATTTAAGGGATGGAAACAATCTTCAATAATGACATGTGCTTTCTGTTTAATTCTCATTCAATCAATTTCATTTGGCTGTCTTTGTGCTATACGTACAATTGCACTGACAATTTTTACTACTCGACACAGTTTTTGCTTTTCCTTAATTGGCAACAGTCCATACCATGCAATCATGTTAAAACTCACAACACTTTCAACCAAGTTCTTGTATGTCATCTCCAGAACATCTTGACTCAAACCAAATTGTTGTAACCTCCTAATGAGATATAATCTCTGCATTGCTTTTTTTTTTAAATGCACTCTGCATTTGCAGCAAATGTTAATCCACTATCAATAAATGTTGCTAAATATTTAAGACATCCAGCTGTCTCTATTTCATGATCCTCAAGGACCAGAGATTTCAATCCTTGATTAATTACTAGTTTATTTCTGCTAAATAGCATCTCCAGTGAACTCTTTTCACACCAATTCTGAAGCAAATGTATATAATAAGGCCAACAAGTGCCATATCATATTGGTAATGTCTAGTTGTCATGACTTATACTGACAGGTTTTGATACATTTGCTTATGTCAAGTTGACATTAGTTGACAAGCTGGCACTTGGCCTGCATGTTTATGACAGATTTATGACAGTTAAGGTCTTGGTAATGTCAATTTGTCAAGACAAAGACATCTACAAGTTTTGTTTCATTGGTAATGTCAAGTTGTCATGACTAAGATACTGACAGCTTATGATACATCTGGTTATGTCAAGTTGACATTAGTTGACAAGCTGGCACTTGGCCTGCATGTTTATGACAGATTTATGACAGTTGAGGTCTTGGTAATGTCAATTTGACAAAGACATCTACAAGTTTTGTTTCCTTGGTAATGTCAAGTTGTCATGACTAAGATACTGACAGCTTATGATACATCTGGTTATGTCAAGTTGACATTAGTTGACAAGCTGGCACTTGGCCTGCATGTTTATGACAGATTTATGACAGTTGAAGTCTTGGTAATGTCAATTTGTCATGATAAAGACATCTACAAGTTTTGTTTGCTTGGTAATGTCAAGTTGTTATTACTAAGATAATGACAGGTTATGATACATCTGGTTATGTCAAGTGGACATTAGTTGACAAGTTGGCATTTGGCCTGCATGTTTATGACAGATTTATGACAGTTAGGGTCTTGGTAATGTCAATTTGTCATGACAAAGACATCTACAAGTTTTGTTTCTTTGGTAGTGTCAAGTTGTCATGACTAAGATAATGACAGGTTATGATACATCTGGTTATGCCAGGTTGATATTAGTTGACAAGTTGGCATTTGGCCAGCATGCTTATGACAGATTTATAACAGTTAAGGTCTTGGTAATGTCAATTTGTCATGACCAAAACACCTACAGTTTTTGTTTCCTTGGTAATGTCAAGTTGTCATGACTAAGATAATGACAGGTTATGATACATCTGGTTATGTCAAGTTGACATTAGTTGACAAGCTGGCACTTGGCCTGCATGTTTATGACAGATTTATGACAGTTGAGGTCTTGGTAATGTCAATTTGACAAAGACATCTACAAGTTTTGTTTCCTTGGTAATGTCAAGTTGTCATGACTAAGATACTGACAGGTTATGATACATCTGGTTATGTCAAGTGGACATTAGTTGACAAGTTTTCAATTTGCTCCAGGCCAAATACCATACGTAAGCTATAGCTGTGCTGAGTCCTATTACACAGCTCTCTGTTGTAATTCTTGATTTTGATTGGTCAATCAAGGAATTTCAATGTATGCTATTTTTTAAACTGTTAAACTGATCTGTTTAAACACTCGATTCTGCATTAAATTAATTAAATTGCACAAGTAGTTCCAGTCAATTGTGCTCCCAGGTGACCTTCTTGCTGTAAGGCAACAATGCTGAACACTGAGCCACCGTGCCGCCCCATATTTTATATAAGCAAAAGTCAAATAAGAACTTGTATGTAATTGTATGAAGTTCTATATGGCAAGACAGAAACGAATATAGATACAGACAAAACAATAAACAGACAACATGATTGTCAAACAGATGAACAGACAGACTAACAAAACAAAATCAGTGTGTATCTAATACTAAAACATCCCTCATTCCTTAACAGAGCAGGATCGTGTGACAGAAAACACAGTGTGCTGCATCTTTAAGAGGTGCAAACCCCCAATATTGTGACCTTACCGTCCTCACCATAATAAAAAGTCATGCCGTGATCAGCTAAGCAAATTTAAATTAGCAGAGCCTTTTTATTACAGCCAACGCTTTGTCTGGATGGCACAGGCAGCTTTGAAGTGCCAGCTGATGCCGGCCAACAACACAAAGCTCATTCCCACACTTTGCTGCTTTACAGACATTTGAGGATAAAAGTCTATCTGTAAACGTCTGAACAAGGTTAAACAGCTAAAAATAACTCTTCACTTGTTGACAAGGTTATTTCTGACAGTCACGGTGCTGACAAGGAACACAAAAAATGACACTGTTTGAGATAGCACGAGGCTTTCAAACAACACAAGCTCGGCTCATATTGTTCTGCTTGTAGCTGGCGCTGTTATTGAGTTTTAAGCCGTGTAATTTTCCGTACCCCAGTGCATTCGCCAGCTCAAACGGAGACCCATTGATCAATGTAATGCTATAATTATTTTGACCTTGGGCCAAAATGTTGCAACATAAAAGGCTAAGTGTGCACTCAGTCAAAAATTTCCACCTGACCCGGCCGGGAGTTGCCAGTAGCAGTCCTTGAGGTGCTGACACACTACTATTTGCAGATATTTTGGGAAAAGCATGTCTACAGCTTGATAGTTGCAAAAGTTTCCAGATTCTGACAACAACAAAAAGCCCAGTGTGACACTATAGCACTATAAAAAAATATCTGTAAATTAACAATTTTTTGGGCGTCATGGTGGCACAGTGTGTAGCACGACACGACCGCCTCACAGCTGGAAGGTCGCTGGTTTGAGCCTAGGCTAAGTTGGCATTTCTGCGTGGAGTTTGCATGTTATTCCCATGTTCGTGTCGGTTTTCTCCGGCTGCTCCGGTTTTCCCCCACAAGTACAAAGACATGTGATTTTGGTGAATTGGGTAAGCTTAATTGTCCGTGGTGTATGTGTGTGAAAGAGAGTGTATGGATGTTTCCCAGTGATGGGTTGCGGCTGAAAGGGCATTGGGAAGCAGTGGTTTTAATGTGTCAAATTGTAAAAGTAGACTTAAAAAAAATAAAATAAAAATAAATAAATATATATATATATATATATATATATATATATATATATATATATATATATATATATATATATATATATATATATATATCCTACTTAATAATAATAATAATTATTATTATTATTATTATATTATTATTATTATTATTAAGGCTTTTTTTCTTAATAAATAGCCTACTGTAAATTAGGCCTACAACTATTAACGATTTATATATATTTATATGATTTATATATGAGATTAGAATATGTGTAAGCTAAGTGATTTTATATGGAATATTTTCAATAGTATTTGTAAATGAAACATTGGTCCTATGTGTTGGTCCTATATGTGTCTTTACATATATTTTAATAAATATAGGAAACAATTGTTTTTTTTACCAAAAATAAGATTTTTTTTTTAATGCATGTGTGCGTGTAAATCAAGTAAATTTGCACAAACATTTTTTTTT